TCCCACTTTTTCATGCAGTTGATGTATAGTGATGGTGAGAAAGCATTTGGTACATCAAGTGAACTCTTTATTGATGAAAGAATGAGAATTGCATTAGATGGCATCATAGTTGTTAGGTAATGTTTAATGTCCTGAATTAAGTCTAAGCCAAGTATATCTTGTTTAATATCATGCTAATATTCATCTTTTTACAGCATGGAAATATTTCGCCCACAAAATTTAGACAGTCCAGTTGAGAACACCTTAAAAGGAAAAATAAGAATTACCACAAGATGCCTGTGGCTTGACAAGGGTAAGCTGTTGGATGCACTACATAAAGCTGCTCATGCTGCCCTTTCAAGCTGCCCTGCAAGCTGTCCCCTGGCTCATATGGAAAGAATTGTATCTGAGGTGTTGAGAAAAATGGTGAGGAAGTACAGTGGCAAGCGGCCTGAAGTTATTGTCATTGCTGTAGAAAATCCTGCCGCTGTTCTTGCTAATGAGATAAAGACGAAGCTGTCTGGAAAATTCCATGTGGATGGGACACCGACATTGAGAAAAGTGCTGGATGGACATGGGAAAGAAAATCAGAAAACCAAAACACAAATAAGAGGTAACTCAATTTACATTTCAAAAATACATATAGAATTGTAGAGGTCTGGTTTATGTGCAATTATGCATTTTATATGAAGGCTAAAATAGGTCATGTTAATTGTACTATCATTTATAAGAATGTGAATGTGCTCTTATTTGCCTCCAACTAAATGAGAATGTGATAGATACCCACTACTTAGTTACACTAGTTAAGATTGTTGGCATAAGAAATGAAGCAGTGTCGCCAATAAACAAGAAGGGAGGTGGTGAGAGATCTCTGTCGAAATTTTGGGAGAATTAGTGCCTTTGAGCATTGAGAGCTGTAGACCTTGAAATTCTACAAATTAGGGACTACTGCAATTGGGAAGCAGAACAAAAACACCAAAGGAGCAGAATCTGCTTTGGTACCAAAAGTTTTACAGATTATTATGCAAATGAATTTTCTGAATAACTCAAGTTACCTAGCTTATCTAGTAATTCAATTTTGTGTTTACAAAGAGATTAATGATGATTCTAGTGCACGTATATAAGTACAGGAAAGAGCTGGTCGTATTCTATGAACAAGACTTGAGGGGAATGGTCCATAATGCTTTGATTATTTAGAGATTTGTTTTTTTATCTCGACTTAAGGGGGTGTGTTGGAAGTCTCACACCAACTAGAGATAAGGTCAATTTAGAATATATATGTGGGTGCAACCCTTACCTTACAAGCCGGTTTTGTGAGATTGAGTTAGACTTAAAGTCCACTTCTTAATATGATATTAGAGCCATGGGTTAGAGTCTCTCTTAGCGAGATTTGTATTTGTTGGTCATATCATTTCATCCGCTATTGGACCGCTATCGGACCACCCATTAATGTCTAGCCTCATGTAAGAGATGTATATACCTCAACATAAAGGGGTGTGTGTTGGAAGTCCCACGTCAACTAGATATAAGGTTAATTTAGAGAATATATGTTAGGTTCCTGGGTTGGAAACCTAACTAACAACGCTCACAGTTATCAAAAGAACAAAAAAAGAATGAATTTCTGTATTGATATTGAGAACAAAGTACACTGATAGCGCTAATGGAGGTCTGATCCCCCTATTAACCCTAACAGAGGCCTAATCCCCCTCTTCTGGCCAATGTCCAGATTTACAAAATAATATTAAAAAACTCTCCTGACAACATAATAGAGTACTATTTATACAATTCCTCCTCCTCCTATCCTAAACTCATTACCCATTATACCCTTACCACCCTATATCCTAACATTACACCCCGCTGCAGAACAACCTTGTCCTCAAGGTTGGAACCGAAAAGCTTGGTCTCTTGGCTCCACTTCATCCCACCGTTCTCTCTCAAAAGTATCCGGCAGTTCTCCTGTTGATACGGCAACGCTCTACTTCTCGATCCGGCAGGTTGGACCAATTTGTTAGGTTCCTGGGTTGGAAACCTAACTAACAACGCTCACAGTAATCAAAAGAACAAAGAAAGAATAGATTTCTGTATTGATATTGAGAACAAAGTACATTGATAGCGCTAATGGAGGCCTAATCCCCCTCTTCTGGCCAATGTCCAGATTTACAAAATAATATTCAAAAACTCTCATGACAACATAATAGAATACTATTTATACAATTCCTCCTCCTTCTATCCTAAACCCATTACCCATTATACCCTTACTACCCTATATCCTAACAATATATGTGGGTGCATACCTCATCTTATAAAGCGATTTTGTGGGGTTCAGTTAGGTTTAAAATCTACTTTTCAACAATTATTATTAGAAATGTTATTTTTTTATATTAAAAAAATGTATTCTAAATTATAGATGGCCCATACAAACCCAACTACCTCAAGCCCAACATCTGATGTGGGACAGGTAGCAAGAGCTATCAAAAGGATGACTAATGTATTTCAACAATAAGGAGATGCTATGAATAGACAACAAGTTATTAATCAATTTAATGCAAATGCATTGCGAGTCAACCAACATGCTCACCCTCTTGAGTATGTAGGTTTATTGAAATTCTTGAGGAACCAACGTCCTAAA